CATCTGACTCTCCCCTGGACCGGCTTTCCATCCCAGGGCGGTCCCCGGGGCGGCCCCCAGGCCCAGTTCTCCATCCCGCGGTCATTTCTCTTGGGCGGTCTCGAGGTCCCGTGAGAGCCCACGCGGGCCGGATTTTGTCAATCATTTCCATTTTTTTTTTTTTCACGACGCGAGGGGGTCTGGGTCCCGTTCTCCTGGCGGCCCTCCTGCGGGATTCTGGCTCCCGAAAAGGACGCCACGGTTCTCGCCCCCCTCTCCCTCTCCCTCCCCCCTCCCTCTCCCCTCCCACTCCTTCTCCCCCTCCTGTCCCCGCCTTCCCCTTCCCTCCCTCCCCCACCTTCTGCTCCTCCCCCCTTCCCCACCCCCTCCAGTCTCGGTTCGCGGGTCGCTGGGCCAGAGCGTCATTAGCCAGCACGCGAAGCCTTCCGCGCCCCTGAGCCCGGTGAGACCGTAACCGTGCCATTCGTTACGAATGGCACGTTCGAGAGGACGGCTGGCCTTCTCGGCGCCCGACGCACGGGCGGCGCACGGGCGACGAATGCGCGACGCACCTGCTGTCGCGAAGGGGGGGGTGTCAGCACGCCGGTTGCTTTACTGGGCCTTAACACATTCGTACGGGACCGATTCGTGTCGCATCGCCTTCAGTACTCACGCGCGCGTCATGGCCCCGAAATGTCGCCGCTGTGAGCGTACCCATCATCAGGACCTCTGCCACCAGCAAAGGCCGCCAAAAGGCACCCTTTCGGGATAGCAGCCTGTCCCGAGAGCAACCCAGTGTCGCTGCGTTCCAGAGCAGTGGCGGCGTTCACGGAGCAGTCGTTGCAGACAACGAACTCGCCCATAAACACCAAACCGAATTCCACACCATTTACCATCAACATCGCTCTCGCCAGCACAAGCGCAGGGGCGAGATGATGAAATTGTGTGGGAACAACAAAATCAGCTACATGCTGCAGTACTCCTTGACGCGCAGAACGAGCTCCAGCGGTGATTCACCAGTGTCCACGACCTCCGCCAACGCCCACCGGTGCAACGGCGCCGCTCCACTCATCAGCCTGGATGCACACATTGTTCCCGTCGCTTTTGTCCCCGACAGATCTGAGGGCGGCACATCGCACACCAGCAGCATATCCCGTCGCACGCTACACCAGGGCAGCCGGCTCTAGCAACAAGTCTGCCGAGAGGGTAAGTCCCTCGGGCTAGCCGTCCTGGAACTCACAGGCATTGATTTCCCAGGGGAAACAAATCCAAATCCTTTTTTTGTTGTAGGGTTGCTGAGGCTACCCAGCGTGCGCCACGACGCATACAGGGAGACACCAGTTGCCAACTAGGCGGCGCAGAGGTCAACTGCCTGCATGATGTTGCCCCAGAGAAACCGTCGGCCCAGCAGACAGCGTGATTTGGATCCGCGGGGCTATGTGCGAAACTGATGCCACTGCTGTCGCGCCAACGTAGCAGGTGCTATTGACCTCCCAATTCTCGGGGGCAGCCCCATTAACGGCGCGCGCCAGCCGGAAGGAATAGGCACGACGCAGCAGAGGGCCCAGGGCGGCCATGGAGCGGCGAAGCGTGACCAAGCACACAAACAGCTCGACGGCGACCTCACCGCCGCTATCAATGCCCATGGCTATGTTGGGACGTCACGACAAGGTAGCTGGCAAACGCGGGCTCACTGCGCCTGCTGTATCGACCCGACGGGCGTCCCGATCGTGTCGGCCGCCTCCAGCCTAGGGGTTTTCAATCTGGCATCAGCTACCAGTGCGCTGAAGGCCCTGCGCCCAGTGGACGCGCCGCAGTGTGGTGCCAGGGCGGCACTCCAAGAGTCCAGCAGGCTTCATTAAGGTTGAATGCCTACGGAGCCATTCGTGACGACAGTCGAGTGGGCATCCGCGTGAAACCCGACGCGACCGAAGCCGAGCAGATGGCCTTCGAGCACAGAGGGGCCGACGCGACGCTTGCGAATGCAAAGTATCGTGCCGCGGGCATCGAGCCCCATAGTGCTGCTAAAACAAACTCACCAACGTCCTCGCATCCATCCAATGGCGCTGCGGAGTCCATCGCGCGGGATGGGGCAGCGACGCCAGGTGAGACTTTTCCATCATTCAAGTGGCCCCGTCCCCGCCCAGTGCCACCGTTGACGTCCAATTTATCACCTGCCCCGCAGACCACCGCTCGGGTGGAGACCGCCGCCTATTCGGACCCGCCAGAAACGTCAGCGGATAAGACCGCCTCGCCAGAGTCCATCGTTTCAGGGGCGCCCGCGCCAGGCCCCCCCACCGGGTGGCCGGCGCGCCCGCGCCGCGCCGACGCTCCAGGGCAGGGCGGCCACGGGGGCGCGCGTGCAAGCGCTACAGACGCCGCCTTCGAACCAGCAAAGAGGCGCGCCGTCCATCGGCGCACCGCCGCCGGCGCGAGGGGGGCTGCCCAGCGCTTGCTCAGCGCAGCCAGGGGGGCCGTTGATCCGCCATTGGGTGATGCAAAGCCCTGCAGTGCAACCGCCCCTCCTGACCTTCGCGACGACGAGGACTGCGTCGCGGCGGAAGGTGCGGTAAAATGCGAGAGCGCTGAGGCCCCGCCTCTGTCCCGCGATGGGAATCAAGATCCACCGGGTTGCGATGAAGACCCTGGTGAGCGAGCCGAGCGCGAGGGGCATCTCGGACCAGGCGGGCGCCCACTTCCGCGGGCTGGGCGCGGCTCAATGGGGGCTGGTCGACGCGGCGCAGCGATTCGAAACCATGGTGGCCGTCGCAGCCACCAGCCAAGCCGCGCTGGCCCAACAGTGCTACCAGCTGGAGCGAGGGGTCGCCCCTGTCCAAAGCGAGCGAACCAGCTTTCGCGTGGACCTAAGGACATCCGCGGCGCAGATGGTCCAATGAATCGCGCCGGCTCAGGTTCTAGGTGTCTGAACGTATGCGCAGTTTATTATTTCATTGGTGTCGCTGACGTTCCTCGCTCGGGCATGCTCGTGTTTTTTGCGCTGGCCACGCGGAGTGGTTCCGCGGCGTTTGGCTCGGTGGCGCTCGTGCCGCCCTGCGCGCCCCAGCGGCCGCGCTCTCCGCGCGGCCGCCGTCGCGTGCGCGGGGCCTGCGGGGGCCTGTGTCCACGCCCAGACACTTCGGTGGATTCATCCTAGGCGACCCGTGGCTAGGGGTGCCAGCCCCGAAGAACGATGCCGTTCCAACCGAGCGCGTCTTTGTAGAGACCACGGCTAGCAGCGCTGCCTGTTCCTGCGCCGCCGCTGGCGACGCGCCGTGTGGAGCCGCGTCTTTTCCTTCGTTCAGGACAACAGCTGACCCAGCAGTCGACGCGAACGGCGGCGGCGGCCTTTCTGGGCATCGCCAGACTGCTGGCGAAGCAGTCAGCAGTGATGACCCTCCAGGACACGTCGCTCATCCGAACAATGCTCAGCGCTACGGCGCGCGCCTGATGACGCGGAGCGCCCGCGACCTCCAGGAGCGACGGGGGGTCAGCGCCGGCGACGTCGCCCTGAAGGCTTGCCGAGGTAACGGCCCCCGGGAACGCCGTGGTAGATCAGCCGAGAGACGCTCTGGGGCCGTCATTGGCGCCCTGCGTGCCTTCAGACGCGCTGGCCGCGCCTGGGGCGCTCTCGCTTGCCCTGGCTTTGAATGGGGTAGGGCGGGCGCGCGTGGCTGGCCGGCGGGGCGCGTTTGGGGGGCCGTGAGCAAACGCGACCCGAGTCGTCTGTCTCGCGTGCCGCGCCGAGGGCTGCGTCGGAGGGGCCTTCGGACAGTGGGAGGGGGGCCGCCCCGTTGCCCTGCCGGGGCGAAGGGGCAGCCCGCGTTCTTTCTGAGGGGGCCCCGCGCGAGGGGCGATGGCGAGCAGACGGGCGAGACTGGATCTGGGGCGTGGGCGGCCGCGGCTGGAGCGGCCCCCCTGCGGGCGCGCGCCGCTGGGTCCGCGCGCCGCGCCGGGGCCGCCAACGGCTGGCGACGCGGCCTCGCCGCCGAGGACGCATGGCCTCCAGGGGCGCGGCTAGGGCAGCGGCGGGTGCGCCGCGAGGGCTTTCTCTCTTCGGGCGCCAGCCCATAGCCCCGCTGGCGCAACTCGAGCGGCCGCCGCGCGGCCGGCTGCCACTCGGCCGATCGCCCCGCGCTGAGGCCGTCGCTGGCGGACGAGCCGCCCGCGCGGCCGGGGCGTCCCGCTGGGGGGCGCACCCCTGGAGGAATTCCCTGGGAGCTGCCCCTGGCGCGCTTTCCGGGCGGGCGCCAACCGCCGCCCCGGTCGGCGGCGCCCCGGGTCGCCGCGAGGCCCCCCGTCGGCCCGATAGCCGCGGGGCCGACCGCTGGTAGCGGCGCGCGGCCGTGCTGGGCGCCTTCCGAGCTCCCAGGCGCCGCCGCGTCGCCGCGTCGCGCGGGGGGACAGCGGCGGCGCGAAGCGGGCCAGGTCGGGCGCCGGGCGGGCGTCGCCGCCGCAGGGAAGCGCGCGCCTCGCGGCGGCCTCGCTGGTGGGCTCCGACGGAGAGCCGCCCTCCGCTGGAAAGGGCGAGCGGGGCGGGGGCATCGCGCGCGCTGGCGGGCGCGGGCGGCCTCGCGCATTCCTCGCCGCGATGCCTCGGGGCCGCGGGGGGCACTTGCAGCGGGTGCTCCGTCGGTGGGGCCGCGCCGCGCTGCAGCGGCGCGTGACAAACGTCCTGGCGTTCGCCGCGTGGCACAGGGCAAAGCGTGGGGGCTCGCCGTTCGCGGCGATCCCGAACCGCGAGCAGGCGGCCTTGCGCCTGATCGATTACGTCAACGACCTCATTGAAGCGGACGTCGGCGCGACGGGGCCGAAGGCGCGCCTGGCCTCGCTGGCGTTCCGTGCCGGCCTCGCTTAGATCGGCGACGGCCCCCCCCGTGGATCCCGTCGCCGTGTGAACGGCGGCAGCTGCCCATTGCCAGGAAACGACGGCGGCGGGGCGCAGAGCGCGCGCGTGCGCGGTGGGGCAGGTCCGCGCCCTGGAAGCCGCCGTCAGGACACGTCTCGCGTGGGGTGAGTTCAAGGTGGCGCCCGCGTCCTTTGCGCAGCGACGACGGCATCTGGGACAGACCGGGCGCCCGGCGCACCGCGGATGGCGAGTGTGGCTTCCTCTGCGGAGCCGCGAGCAAGACCGGGGCCGCGGTGGCCGCGAGCCTGCGCCTCGTCCCAGAGATGCCCGTGTCCGCGCCGCTTCGAGGCGTTTGCCCCGAGCCGTCGCGGTGGGTGCAGGGGTGCCTGGCAGACTGTGCCGAGCTCGGAGTCGCGCATCAGGAATGCGCCGCGCCCGCTCCGTGGGCCGCCTGCGCCAGGCTGGCCCCTCCGGTGGCCGCAGAGCCGAACGAATGGGCCACGCAGGCCCGAGTCGCCCTGCGGAGGGCTGGCGTCGTCCGGGAGCAAGCGGCAGGCATCGCGCTCCACTCGGGCAAGAAAGCCGCGCTGACGTGGTCGTGCACGTCGGGGACATTCTTGAAGCGGACCTCGCGATGATCGGCCGCCGCCGCAGCGCGGGAGTTGCGCGTGCGTGCGGCCCGACGCTCTGCGGTGCCGGCGAGCTCAGCCGCGGGGCGACCTGCCAGGGCGATCTGCATCGACGCTAGTGTGCTTCAATGCGTGTTCAGCAGTCAGACTGGCGCGCCCTCGACTGTGCTTGTCGCGGCGGCAGACAAGAAAAGACGCGGCGTGGTCGACTCGGCAGCGCGGAGCGGGCCCAGCCAACCGATGGGTCTGTTCGTTCGAAAGTGGTGGGGTCTCAGCGCGCGTGGGTTCAATTTCCGCAATGTGCGCGTGGTCCTGGACGCCCGCGCAGCGATTGGCCCCGGCACTCTAGCCGACTGCCGCGGCGTCCTACCAAGGGTTTGCGACCGCGCCGTCAGTCCAGGCCTGCTGCCCCCGCCAGCGAGGCCGCCGCGCCGATCTGTGTGCGCGCTGCAGCAGGGCCATGTTGCAGGCGTCATGCCACCAGGCGTCGCCAAGCTGAGTGGGCCACCGGGCTGAGGCTGCGCCCCCTCCCATCGCGGGGGACTTCGCAGATGGCCGCAGGAGCTGCGCTTGGTCCGCCAAAGGGAAGCGGAATTACCTCTTGCGCAGTGCAATGCCCTTCTGAAGATTTTCGCTCTCCGTGATGAATGGGCCACTTTTCAATATTGAGAGGCTTGTTTTCGCAGCTGGAGGATGCGCCAGCCGTTGCTCTGGTCGCGACATAGCTTCAAACGCTTCTCTTTCCAAGTGGAAGGCCAGGCAGTCTTGGGGAGATATGCTCGCAGGCATAACGGAATCGCGCTGAAGAGCTGCTCACATGCAGACTGCCATGGGCCCCCTGGCAATGCGTGTGCATGGAGGCGCGAACGTATGGGCTGGCGTCGAAGTCGCGTGAGGAGATCAGGCGCTGCATCCGCCCTCCCTCGTCTTCGATGTCCCATCGCGGGGCAGTGGCAGTTGCGGCGCGTTCCAGCTCTACGTGACCATTTTCGATGTGGCCCTCCGCCCGCAATCCAGGCGCATGGTGGCGCGTTGCAACCATAGGGGAAGGCCCGCATTGCTCGGCCCTGGGCGGGCAGGAGGGCGGGCCCAAGATGGCCGACGTGACGTCGCAGCGGCGCGTCGATCGGCAGGGGTAGACGGATGCGGAGCGGATTCTCGATGAGCGCCTCGCGGAGCCCGCTCGCAAATTGGCGAAATCATGCGCCTCGGTGGGCGCGGCGGCGCCAGCGGGCCGAAACCGAGGCCGCGGCGGCGAAGGAAACCGCCGCGGGACCGCAGGGGTTCGCGGCGGCCGACGAGGCGCGCCCAGTGGGCTGCCGCCGTCGAGCCAGGGCGGGGGCGTGGCCCGAGCGGGGCCGCCGAGAAGGAGGTGATGACCGAGGCCTAGACATGGGGCTCCTTCCCCCCCCTGGGGCGCTCTGGTTGTGAGTGCTATGGGTGCTACTTGTATGGTTATCATTGAATTGTCTTGTCGCCCCGCCACGGCGACCGCAATTCTCCGTCTCGGAGGGGCAGCTTCCGAAAAGTCTGGCGGCCGCTGCGGTGGTTGCCTGGGGGCCGTCTTCGTGGGCGCGCTCGAACACGCGAGCGTGGTAAGTTCGAAACAAGCAAACAGCCGTGCGGACACAGAGGAAACCATGCAGATATCTGAGGAAGCCGCGTGGATACAGCCGTCGTAATTTTGATTCAAGCACTGTTTGGACACCGTTCGGGGCCCAAATCGTGTAGTAAGAACCCTGTGGCTTGTCTGTCTCACTGGCCCCGCCCCTCGCGCGTGGGTCTGGCCATTGTAATGGCCTTGCGAAGCCATTGTAATGACAGTGGATATAGTGGGGGCAAAGCGGTGTTTGACGATTCATGGGCAAAATGGGCGGTGGGGATTGGGTCCGTTCTCCATGGATTCAGCTGCGACTCGTACGGGCAAACTTATTTTGTTATTTTCTTATCTGTTTTTCAAACCCGCGCGTTGTCGGTTCTTTCGAAGTGGTGCCCCCGCTGCAGCATTGGCTCCGTTTCCATGTTTTTGTTCCTTCGAAGTGGGCCTCCCGCTGCAGCATTGTTCTCGTTTCCGCGTTCTCGGTCTTTCTCAATGGTGCTCCCGCTGTAGGGTTTCCGAGGTGGGACTTTATGCATGACCACTGCATGGGGGATCAATGTTCAGGGACCTCGGCAGGCGGTGGGTATGGATCTAGTCGGGCCCCCGCGGGCTAAAATATATCTATATCCACCGCCCGCTGGGGCACTTCCAGCGCGCTGCTGGCCTCGCTTCCGTGCTGTTGTCTGCGGAGGCCCTCCCGCGGCATCGCTTGGCGTCTGCGCCGCGTCTCGGCCCTTCGACGTAATGCTCTCGCTGTAGGACCGGCCTCATTTCTAAATTCACCACCGCGTACAGGAGGAGTATTCAATTCTAGCAGGAGTGCAGTATCCCCAAACAGCCAAACAGGGTTTTTTAAACCCACTGCGGTTTCCAAGGTCGCTTGCGTGCCCGTCCAGTGCGGGCTGGCATGGCATGGTAGAACATGATAACATGATGTTTGCACATGATATGTTTACACGAGAACTTGTGTGACGCATGCCTATCAGGAAGCTAACTCTAGAGGGTGTCGTACTCTCTCTCTCTCTCGCACCTGGTCGACGAGTAAGCTGTCGGGTCGGCACTGTCAGAGGCTCCGCCTCCATGCTGTGAAATCGGAAGCAACTGTAAGGGGAAGCGGGGGAGGGCGCGGAAGCGGGGGGGCATGTCGTGATGGTTCCCCCTTGTTGCCCTGGTTGCCCTGGAGGGAACGTATTGGTCGGAGGCCTCGTTGAAGACCACCGCAGCGATGGCTCAATACTTTTGCAGCGACGGCGGCCTCCATGCCAACTGGAAGGGGGCAGACGGATCAACCGCCGACAAGCGGTATTGATGTAACTATCATATAGAAATGTTTCTCGAATGCGCAAGGGGCATCAGGAAATTCGGTAGAAGGTCTTGGGGGTTCTCGTGGGCTCGGCTTCCAAGAATAATGATCAGTGCGCGCCCAACCCTGGACCACATACCAGCCAGGCTGTTGTTTATCTACGAATGCCACCAGCTCTTTGCGGCGTGAGTTGCTTAGCGAACTCCTCCTTCTAACCCCCGTCTTCCCCTTCGGGGAAAGGTTCCTCTCTGCCCGTACCCGCTCCCTCTGGGTGTGCAGCGGTTCCCCCGCGGGTCGTTGGATTGTCAAGATGGCTCCAAGAGGCCCCCGAGAGCCCAATATAGCTTCCAGATTGGTTCAAGATAGCCTAAAATGGTTCCGTATCAAGTCCAGTATGCCTCTAGGAGGATATAAGGCCGCTCCAAGGCGGCCTCCAGCATGGCCCCAAGATGGCTCCGCGATGGCCCCAAGAGGCCTCCAGCACGTTCCCGGAGCGAAAGATCTGTGCAAAGACCTTCGCGTCGCCGTCGTCGCCGTCGTCCTCGTCTTCGTCATTGTCGTAGTCATCGTCGTCGTCGCCTTCTTCGTCTTCGTCGTCGTGCTTTTCTCTGGCCCCTATCCTCCTCGTATTCTTGTTCCCCTCTTCCTCCCCTCACCTTTCCTTTCTTGTCCTCCTCATCCCCCCTCCCTCACGCCTTGCCCCTGTCTTCCTGCTCCTCCTCCTCCCCTTCCTCCTCTGCCACCCTCCCCCTTTCAAATGGTAACAGCTGTATTCTGTCTGTTGCAATGCATGCTGCAACACTTCTCTGATCAAGGCAACTTGCCTGGGCATCGTCTCAGGATGGTCTGGTGGGGATCCGCGAAGCGTCAAGGATTTGTTACTCGTAAGGCTGGGCTCGCACCTGCGTCAGCGAAGCGCCAGGCTCTTCACGCCTGGCAAAGTGACGTCAGCGCTTGCCGAGCTGCGGCGTCTGTGGCGGCCTTTGTCTCTTCGAAGAGTCTGCGGAACTGAGTCATAACAAAAAACCCTGACAAAGAACCAGTCCCGGGGATGATATCGAGAGGTCCGCGGGCGCACGTCTCAAAGGACAAATCGTGACGTCGGATGTCTCGGGAGGGCGGAAGGCAGGGCGCGCATGACGGATGCTGAGGCGGCAGAAACGATGACGGCGGGGACGGGGAGGCGGAGGCAGAGGCGCAGCAGCGGGAGGCGGGAGGCGGGAGGAGGGAGGAGGGAAGAGGAGTCAGGCGGGAAGCGGGAAGAGGGAGGCGGGAGAAGGAATGAGAGAGGTTGTGATTGGAGCCCCTGTGCTACGAAACGTCCCAGGCAGAACGGGCCAGACCATCTCGCGCGCAACATATTCGAGCTTCGTATTGTGAGAATGGCTCAAGCGAAACGGGCCAGACCACCTCGCGAGCGACATCTTGAAGCTCAGTATTGGCAGGATGTCTCAAACGAAACGGGCCGGACAACCTCTCGCACACGTTCTGACAAGTCCACGTCACACTCGCTTCCCGTTAGGTCCTCTCCTGCAACTCCTTTCCTTCTCCCTCCTCGTCCTCCTCCTTCTCCTCCTCCCCATCCTCCTGCCTGCTCCCTCATCCACATCCTCCTCCTCCTCCTCCTCCTCCTCCTTCTCCCTTCCATCTCCTCCTCCTTCTGCTCCTCCTCCTCCTCCTCCTCCTCCACCTCCTCTTCATCCCGAACGGCATCTCGGAGCCTAGAGTTGCGAGGATGTCTTCAGCGTAACGGGCTGGACCACCTCGCGCGCGGCATCTCGGACCCCAGAGTTGCGACGATGTCTCGGGCGAAACTTGCTGCGAGGAAGTCTCAGGCGAAACGGGCCAGACCACCTCGAGCGCGGCGTCTCAGAGCTCCGAGTTGTTGCGGGGGCCTCCTGGGGCCTCCTGGGGCCTCCTGGGGACCTCCTGGGGCTTCCTCCTGGGCCTCCTGTGGCCTCCTGGACCCCACCTGGGGCTTCCTGAAGCCTCTTGGAGCTCCCAGGGGGGGATATCTAACATGTGGCCGTCTGGGCCCCCCCAAATGGGGGGGGGGCCACAAGAGCAGGAAAAATCAACGAATCGACACCGGATGTTTGTTGACTTGACACGTTCTGATAGGGGGCCTCCTGGGGCCTCCTGGGAGCCTCCTGGGAATCTCCTGGGGACCGCTGGGGCCTGTCCTGGGCGTCCTGCGGCCTCCTGAAGCTCTCTGGGGCCTCCTGGGGCTCCCAGGAGGGATATGTTACATGTGGTCTTCTGGGTCCCTAGGCTGGACCACCTCTTACGCGGCATCTGGGAGCTCAGAGTTGCGAGAGTGTCTTGTGCGAAACGGGCCGGACCACCTCGCGCGCGGCATCTCAGAGCTCAGAGTTTCGAGGACGTCTCAGACGAAACGACCCGGACCACCTCTCGCGCGGCATCTCGGAATGCAACAGTGCGAGGATGTCTCAAGTGAAACGGACTGGACCACCTCTTGGGCGGCATCTCGGGGCTCAGAGTTTGGAGGATGTCTCAAGCGAAGCGGGCCGGACCACCTCTCGCGCGGCATCAGAGAGCGCAGTGTTGCGAGGATGTCTCAGGCAAAACGGGCCGGACCACCTCTCGCGCGGC